TCTGGAGGAAAGGCCTGCCGAAACATCCATGTCTTCAATTGCTTCTTAAAGATACCCAGTGAGGGAGCCCCGTGAATCCAAGGAGGTAGATTGTTCCAGAGGCGAGGAGCCACCACCGAGAAGGCCCGATTTCTTGTCTTCTCCTTCCGGGCCTCCCTCGGCGTTAGACTCCTCAGCCTCACCTCCTGGCTTGCTCGAGTGACACGGGTAGAACTTGGTGGGAGTAGGTGTTCCACCGGATATAGGTTTGAAGGAATAATGGCATATTTTGTCATATTTTACTGAATAATAATGATCATAATTGACAGAGAAGTGATTGGCCATTGAGGAAGAAGGGCCAATTTAGCAGGGGATTATACTGAAAAAGGTAATGAACACAATTAGTCCTAAAAAGTGAGAAAGAGGACAAAGAGAAATAACTGACAAACAACTATGTGTGTTAAAAGAAGTGCTAGTTTCAAGGCATCATGAAATGGTGTTTGTTGTCCTAACGTGATGAGAACAGTTGGTATATCATTATAGGTGGAGCTCCATTAGGAGACAAAAGACAGTCCTTGGAAAAGATTGTTTCCCCTTGTATATTGCAAATCGCCTTGTTTTCATTTTGTCATCAGGAAGTAGACATTGGATTCAATTGTAACTCTGTTGATCAAGTGTAACATTATGAAAGAACTGTGTGCCTCAAGGGAAAATGTTTTACTAGCAGAAAAGATGCATTTCTCTTTAGGTGTGATTTGATTGTGATATTCTAGCCAACCATATGGAAGATTTAAAATTGGAGGCCTTTCAGCGTCAATGAGTCATCATGCCAACACCTATCACTAAAACCAGCTTATTTATCATTGTAATGACTATCAAGGGAACAAATGTCAATGGGGCAAGAAACTACAGTATCAGGATATATCTCCTTGTAGTCTGCATCAAGCAAGCAAGCAAGCAAGCAAGCAAGCAAGCAAGCAAGCAAGCAAGCAAGCAAGGTAACCATATTACTAATACAATAAATTCATTGGGAGATCTGCCAAATGAGTCCCAGATTTTATAGATAGTACCATGCTGTCCTAGCTATTTTCTTCCCCAATATACTTTGATTAGTACACACATATAAGTCACTTCATCTTACCTTCAGGATAATGGGTGAACCTGGCTTCTGATCCAAGATTCCACTGGCACTCAGAAGCTCAAATGTAGGGTTTGGGTAGTAGATAAACCTGGTGTCATTGTAAATCAGCAAAGCCTGAACATTGTTAAAGATGAAGCCAAATTCATCAGGTCGTTCAACAGCATCCAAACCAGGTCGGTACTCCGAGGTAAGTGAGGGAGCCAGACATGTGAGGGTGGTTGTATTCACAACTTTACAAACCTAGAAGTAGATAATCAAGACAGGTTTATACTTGGAATACAATGTTTTTATCTCTTGGGAGAACCCTGATATTTTCACACTATTATTCAGCCAAGGCCAGTAGATTCTGAGAACTTCAGAGATTTGAAAAAGATTGAGACTCTGTTCCAAACCAAGTGCTTACTTGCACTAACTGTTGTCAGACACAGCTGGTGGAAGGGTGGGTTTCCTATGTGTATGTCTGTTTGCATATGGACATTTGTGTGTAAGAGGGGGAGAGAGAGAGAGAGATTGAGAAGGAGACAGATTGACTCTGGATGTGGAAGAGATCTATTTTCTCTCCTAGAATTTATTTTTCCAACAGCCTTTTAAAAATGCCCTTGCAAATCACTGAAAGCTAATCAAGATGTATGATACTGAGAGGTTTAACATGACATCAGTGTGTGGGAAATAACGTTAAAAGCTATAAATGTGTAGCACATGGAAATATTTTCATACTGTGTTCACAGGCTCCTATGAGGATCCTGTGAGGAAACAGCTTATAGGCACACATCTGTTTTAATCATTACCATTGAACCATCATAACCACTGTTACAAAACTGTGTAGCCACAGGCATTAACAGGTTAAAAAAATATATCACATGCATGGTTTCCACCTATCCACGGTGTATTATACAGGAGGATCTAACAAGATAATCCAAGATCAATTAAGTTCTTTTTGTATAAACTTTTATAGATTTCTCATTCCATGTTTTGGTAGAAGAGAAAAGTAAGCAAACAAACAAACTTGCAAACAAAACCAAAATTCTACAGATCTTAACTGACATTCTGGAAAAAGAAATATATTCATAGATTTCAAAGCTTATAATCACCCTCCTCAGTGTTTAACTTCTAGTTTGCTTTCAAAAAACAAAACCACACAACAATGCACATACATTTTCCCAACAGTATCTCAGTAGGACTTGGCATTTCTACAGCTTATAGGCAGCTTTGAATATTGACATATTTCAGAATTTCAGCCCAGTAATTAAAGCTTGGATAGGCATAATGTATGTATGGGATATGTAGTCGAGGCTGCAACACAAGAAACAATAAATGAGGGGAATCTAGCACTTGGCATCAGAGAAGCTCTCTCTCATTAGATCAGAGCTTCTCTACCTTTTCAAGTCATGACCCTCTTTTATAATAGCCAAATAATAGGTGACACACCACCATATTTCCATAAAAAGGCATTTTTAATCAGGTAAAGTCATATCTCAGAAAATAGAGGCTTCCTCCTCCAAAGGGCCTATTTCTTACACATACTGCACACTTTAATTTCCTGCTCTGGAAGGTCACAGAAGACTTTATTTAACAAGAGCTACGACACCTACTCCGGGAGGCAATGGAAGACAGGAGGGCCTGGCGTGCTCTGGTCCATGGGGTCACGAAGAGTCGGACACGACTTAAGAATAAACAACAACACAATACATACAGGATTCCCAGTGTGGTGCAGTGTATAGAGTGACAGACTAGTGCTTTGGAGAATAAGGTTTGAATCCCCACTTGGCCATGGAAACTCAATGGTAAAATCACTCCTTAAATATCTCACTTACTTCAAAAGTAAGGGTAGATATACAGTAAGTCTGTTCCAATTTGATGGCACAGAATCCTAAGTCTGTTCCAACTTGATGGCACAGAACCCACAAAAACAAACAAACAATCAAACAACACATATAAGACAACCTCTGATGCCCTGGAAAACACTTCATGATCCCCTTAAGGGTCATGACCCTTAGGCTGGGAAACGTTGCATTAGATGTTTGTTCAAAAACAGGCTTTCTCCTGATCATACCCTTAGTCTGTTTAAGCATTCATAACAAATATAGAAATGAAATCAACACACTTGCGGCCCATTAAAAATAATAGATTTATTTTACTGTGAGTTTTCAGGGACTACAATTCACTTCCTTAGACACCTGGATAACATATAGGTGTCAAGTCAAGGGCATGATGAAACAACCTACTGCAAGACAGACCCAAAAGAGAAAACAACAATTAGACCACTCAAGCATTTCAACAATGATCTGCAGCCCATTTTGGACAACAATACTTCCCTCTCCCAGACTCTGGATGGATAGCTGGGTCTACTCTATAGACAGCGTGACAACCTTAAGCCACTACTGAAGCAGAATAGACCTTACAACACAGACATAGAGACAAGGAAAAATTGCCACATGTGTCCCAATATCTAATATGGCAGCATCATTAGGGGTCTCAACAATATCACTCACACATTAGAGGCTCTTTCATTTGTTCAGCTGTCAATGTGATATTTGCTGTCCTTTGAAAGCAATGTGCCTCTGCATTCTACATAGTGCAAACAGGACAATCTACATAGAAGAGTATAAAATGGTACAAAATTGACATCAGAAATGACAACACACACACACACACACACACACACACACACAAACCCAGCTTCAGAACATTTCTACCACCTAGCACACTCTGTTACAGATCTCAGAGTGATTGTTGGAAAACACCAGGAAGTATTCAGGAAGATTTGAGAATGGGAGAGAAAGAGACAGCTGAAGTAGCTATGTTAACAAATTTCAATGTACATTAAAAGGATTAAATAAGAACCAAGAATTCTTACCACAAAATACTCTGGAATCATCCACAGTATTCATCATCACTTTGACTGATGATGGACAATAGAGATGGGCACTTGCCATGGTTTGGCGCTTCAGTGCAGTTCAGTGGATCAGGCCCATGTGATAGCACCCTTGATTTTGAGCCCCACCTCCTCCCATGGGTGCTCTGTCAGAAGCAGCATTCTGCTTCCTTCTCTGAATGGACACCTGCAGGAGGAGACAGGGTGAGGAATCCAGGGTGCCCATGCAATACCTGTTGGCCCAATCAGCCAAACTGTACTGGAGTGCCAAACCGTGGTTAAGTGCCCATCTTTAGTTAACAATACTGTCATCATTTTGAAAACCTATTACTAATTTACATGTCACTCCTTTTTAACCTCACTTGGTCTCTCCCTCTCTATCATGTCCTCTGTATAAACTTGTGGCCTAACTATTATGCTCCATGTGCCTGTGGAAATGGACCATAATCTATGAAAGCTCACTCTGCAATAAATCTGTAAGTCTTTGAGATGCCACAGCCTTTTGTTTTTGTTTTAATTAAACGCCTGAAGAGTCCAGAAAAAACAACAACAGGGGAAAAACACTTGAGTTGTTACAGCAAACTTATTTGGAACATGTTAGTATCACTGGCTGATATTTGCATTGCTATTATAGTCTCCCTTTGTCTTCAACCGAGCAGCAGGCTAACAGACAGTACTCCAAATGAAAATAACAAGAGAACATGAATTCTGAACCAGACTCTCACACATGCACCAGGCTCTCTGCTTTCATGCTGCGCTGTTGTCTGCCAATTTGCCTTTCAGCTGAACTTGTAATTAATGTCTGGTTCTGGTGACAAATCGAAGCAATTTTCTCACACCAGCTGTACAGAACAATCAGTTGGCCATAAGGGATTAGGGGTAAAATGGGGGGTTATATCCCACTAGTAAAAAGTTGGTGATCCAGCCCCCTTCTTCTTCTGGGAGGAGAGTTCATTTGAAAGCAAAGCATGGCATTTACTTATGGAATTTTAACTAGAAATCATGTTCTTTAAAACAACAGGAGGCATTTTATTTGGCCTCACTCAGCAACGGAGAAATCTAATTTTCATTCAGATTTCTGCATTAAGAACAGTCTTTTCAGTAATACATTACTTTTTACACCAGAAGGGATGAAAGGTAATGGCAAGAAAGCTGCTCATGCCCTTACAAGGATTACATGCAAGGACTTTCCATCTTCAGAATGGCATTTCAAATGAACGTTGGTTTTTGCTGTGGCGTTCTCCCCTACCATAACATTCCAAAGTGCTTCAGATCTATTGGGCCATCCAAGCCCAAGGCAAACAATCCTATCAGGAAGACAGTTTACAATAAGAGTTCAGTCATTCAAAGAGAAGGATCTGTTTTTGCCACATATTTCCCCACATTGTCCTCAAAAAAAGATGTAAACTGGACAGCAGCAGGTTCCTGATATGCTTGCAGAGATACAGAGCAGTGAGTCAATGGGATGTCTCATTTGTGTTCCACTTCCAATTCATCAGTCTGCCTTTTTTTTCTTGCATGCTAAGGCAAGAAGGCCAAAAGTTTCTCTTTTCAGATGACTGACTCCCAGAACCACTCAGTCAGTACTGGTATTTGGTGATATTCTGGGAACTGTCCCCCCCCATTTCTTGGCAGGGGGGAATAGCCATGTTGTCTGTTGTAGCAAAAACTACAATGGGTTTTATGGCAGCATCTGTAAATGATGCCACCACAAAAGCTTCTGTCAAATAAAACTCATTAGAATTCAAAATGTCACATAATTCTTTGTAATAAAACAAACAAACAACAAAACATTTTCGATCTCCAGTGTAGCCACGTAGTACAGTGGCTCACCCTTGTACAGTTATTAGACCTAGAAACACAGACCACTGATTTAGACTATCTGGCTAGCCTAACAGATGCTTGTCGATTAAGGCAGAAGTAAGGAGTGTCCATAGGAAGTGCTAAGCAATAAGTGCCTGCTTCATGAAACAGGCAGCCAGGGATGTTGGCTAGTATTTGGGCCTGAGTCCCAAGCCTTGAGTCCAAGTCTCAAGTCCCTGCCTGAGGAATTCTGCAATTGTAGTCCCAAAAAAACCATGAGCTGCTGGTAAGGTCCCTCCATCAATGCCCCTGAGCTGGGCTTGCTGCCTTCTGAGAAGCCCCCTAACCCATGTCTCCCTAGCCTTTCCTGAGGCGAGCTCCTCCTCCTCCTCTGCTAGGTGTTGTGGAGGGGGGGCATTGCACCTTCACAATGTCAGTGCACCTGTCAGCAAGCACCCTTAGGTGTGACAGGAGAATTCTTCATGCAGCCCAGAAGTGCATCAAAAGGCACCTGCTGCTTTCCTCTGACATAGGAGGTTCCTCCATGACCAGCACCACCATG